TGTGTGTGTGTGTGTGTGTCATTTTATGTAATTTTAAATATATCAAAAGTTATCAGCTCCTCACTATCTGCTAATAGTTATTTTTACCAAACACGTCCATAAATGTCAAAAACATTTTGACTTTTATGAAAATTTCTTAATTTTCTTTATCATAATAGAACTATTAGTTTTGAAAACTATTTGTGAAATCTTGAAATTGAAAACTTTATCCCAAAATGATTTTTAAACAACGAAATACTATCAACTAAATAATCTTTAAATTATCATAAAATAACAATAAATAATATATAATTTGTTCTTTGAATTATTTATCCATAAGAAATTAAATATCCTCCTACTTTTTATTCCTACAAATCTCCCTACCCAATTAAATGATAACATATGTCACGTTTAATGCTCATTTAATGATATTTTAGTATACTAAAATGACACATATCATCATTTAATTGGGTACGATGATTTATAGGAACAAAAATAAGAAGATATTTAATTTCTCTTTATCCATTAATCGTGTTCAACAAGTCAACTTTTTTGGGGTTCTTAATATACCATTAAAGTATATTTTAACCGCATAAACAATTAATACATGGTCACAGTTTATTACGTAACAAAAGTTAAACCCATATAAAATTTATCAACTCAACTAGTATCTCTTCATATGTTAGTACAGTACTACGGTGTACTGTTCCGAAAGTGTATAAACTATACTGGTTCACTACCAATGTTACTTTTGCTCACCATAACTAAGAGATGTTAACATAAAAGCACAAAAGTTAGTCAATATTTGATGGTTTTACATTAGGTTCAATTGTATGTTCATTAATGCCTACTAATTGAGTAGGTTTTTTTTTTCCATAAATAACATTAATTTTTTGCTCACCATAACTAAGGGATATTAACATAAAAACCCCAAAGTTAGTCAATATGTGATGGTTTTACATTAAGTCCACTTTTATGTTTATTAATGTCTACTAATTGAATAGCTTTTGCCATAGATAACATTTATCACCTCATAGTCTCTTGCCCACACCATGTTCAAAGATACCGTGTCATAATTAAGATGAGTAGATGCCACAAAAGCAAAAACATCACACACCACCAACCATTTGACACTATTCAATTTTCAACTAAAAGATAAAACCATGATCCAAATCGGCTCATGTTTAGGCAAACAGCCTGTATCATTAAAAATACATTAAACTTGAGAAAAACATGTCTCAAGTTAAAAATGTGAACTCAAAAACAAATATCTCTCTCTCTCTCTCTCTCTCTCTCTCTCTCTCTCTCTCTCTCACACACACACACACACATGCCTGTTTGAAAGGATTTCAATATACAAGAAATAGAAAAACGAAATACAACAATTGCAACATTATAAGGCATTTCAGACACCAATTCATCTTACAGATGTCTACAAGATTGTGCATCCACATGAATTCAGTTTTCCAGTCTCATCTTGTTTTTTGGCTGGCATCGCATAAAAATGAATTATAAGACATGGAATTATGCAATATCATTAATTTTCATTAGAGGTGGTAAAATGATAAAAATGGTGTGAAAAATAGTGCAAACACAAAATACACTCCAACCCATTACACTATTTTTAACATCAAAAACAATAGTTTAGGCATATTCCATCTACTTTTTTTATAGATTTCCAAAAAAAAGTCCCTTATATTTATTAGCTTTTCACAAACTTGATAAAACTCTTGTTTGGATTATTAAAAAGCATTACAATTATAAAATAAGTTTCACTCATAAAAGATTAAATTTTATATACACAATAAACTAATATCATTTTGATTTATAACATAATATCGCAATGTATAGCACCAGAAATAACATGAAAAAATGGTGAAAAACTGACCTGACTTCTTTTTATTGAGAACAGGTTGAATGACAACATGCATTGTGATTACTCCTCCTGCAAAGGCACCATCACGGACTCCAGATTCTGATAGTGTCTTATTGTTCTCCAAAACTTTTCCCAAATGAATAAGCTTTATGTCATTCACTGTCTTGGGTACTACAGATTTACCTATTAATAAAAACAAAGCAGAAAAAGAGATGAACAGAAAAGAGATCAGCACTCATGTTTTACAATTTTCAACAAGCAATATGCTTTTTGAAGGTGATTAAGAGAAAAAGAGATGAAAAGACAGC